GGGGGGGGGGGGGGGGGGGGGGGGGGATACACCCGTCATGATGAGACATGTACGTATGAACGTATGAACCTCTCTCTCTCGCACCCATACGTGAGTGAGAGCCAAAGACGGAAGGCTTCATCCAGCAATCAACAAACCAGCCGAACACAAAACATACACACACACACACGCCGAGACGGACACAGCCACTTAGACACGGGAACACACAGGCAGGCAGGTGCAGGTGGCCGGCCTTTGCTGACTGACCATGTGCTGCGCAGCGGCCCTGCGGGCAGGCTGGCGCACACAACACAGTCAGCAAGGCGGGCCGGGCCAGACAGACACATTTATGGGCTGTGCTGTGTGAAGGCCATGAGGGTATGAACCAAACACCGACGGACGGACATCTGCCAAGGGGGGAGGAGAGAGAGAGCAGAGGGGGATCGGCCGACCTGACCCTGACCTTCCCAAGTTGTGTTAAGAAAATCTGACTCGGTGTTGCTTCCTTCTGGTGCACATCAGCCAGCCCGCAGCACATCCGCCCACCCATCGGCAGACAGACAGACACATAGACAGCCAGCCAGATCCATCGGTCGGACACACGTGACGTGCATGGGGGCATACACGCACTCATTAATAATAAGATGGCCATTCATTCAGTCAGTCGAGGAGCCATCCATCCATCCACCAGCTGGCGAGAGAGACATTGCAGGTAGGAAAAATCCCACGCATGGCAGTAAACACATCCAAGCACGTATCGTATGCAGCAGCTGCATGGCCAGCTGTACATGCACCACACGAAACACACAGGCCTCTCCTCTCTCCTTCTCTCCCCCTTTCTCCTTCCTTCTGTCGCCCACCAGCGGCAGAGACAGCAAAAATACACACGGGCAAGTTTCAGAGGGGAACGTGCAGGGCAGGGCAAGGATCAGATCAGACCGAGAGAGACACAGACATCCCAGAGCGAGCGAAGCGGCAATCAATCCATCCCTCCGTCATAAACTCAGTCATTTTCACTGGCTGCTCTGTGCTCGGCTGTCTGTCCCATCCATCCCCCATCCCTCTAGACTGCTGAAGGCCACCAAACACACACACACAGACACACACAAGCACTCGGACACACCCACACACGCACAGGCGAAAAGACAATGGCATCGTCAATCCACCGTACATCCATCCATCCATCCATCCATCCAGGCAGGCAGGCAGGCAGGCAAGCCGCATGGGACTGCTGGCTGGCTGGCTGGCTGGCTGGCTTGTCTGCTCTCACTTGACGACACAGCAAGTGAGCCCATGGCATCACATATATCCACCCAAAACCTCAACCTCACCCCTGCCTCCGTAACTGTCGCGGGGTCACCAACCAGTCATGCGCCATCTGCCTGTCCGGGAGGGATGGGCGAGAGGCTGCACAGGGCGAACCAACCCTCCTCAGACCTACACACACACACACACACACACACACGCAGGCAGGCAGGCAGGAATCGTCACTTGTGCCACCCTGTGTGGCGTCATCGACCTCCCTTCCCATCTCCCTCTCCTCTCCACCTGTGGGGGTGCAGTTTTCTGCCGTACGCCCACCCAGACTGGTCGACCTCCATTATCTCTACCTCCTCGCCGAGGTCAACACTCATCGCAACCGGAGAGGGCGTCACGCCCACCGCCGAGGCCGACACCGCAGCACCACGCTGAGTGACAGACACGCCGCACAGCACACAGAGAACCCTCAGATGCACTGTGCTGTGCTGTCCTGTCCGTGCCCGGCCGGTCATGTCGCCTCGTCCTTTCTTACCTGTGTTTGCAAGGTGACTGAGACGCAGACACGGCCGATCGACCCGACAGAGAAGGGCGGCGACGCACGGCCCTCCCGGCCCCCCACACCACCACCACCCACAGCAGGCAACACATACCGCTCAAACTCCCAGGGGTCGTACTCATAGCTGACGAACGGCACCAGTCCACCTTGGCCATCGTCGCTCCTCTCTCCATCCTGACCACCGTCCCCCTCGCCCCTCTCTCTCTCGTGTTCTGGCGAGTGTGGTGGTGGCGTGACGCGCCAGAGTCGGCCGGAGGATGCATGTCGCAGCGACACACGCTGGGAGGGGGAGGGCTGCTGCGAACGGGTCGTCGGCGATTGGGCGGAGGTGTCGATCGACCGCAGCTCGTCCCTGTGCGCCCATACAATGCCGGATGGATGGATGGATAAGTTGCTGCCGGATCTCCTCTCTCTCTCTCTCTGTGTGTGTGTGTGTGTGTGTGTGGTCTCTTACTGTCCGTGTGCGAAGTGGCATGACTTGCGCGTGCACCGCCCAGCCAGCCAAAAGTAACAGAGCTTTCTGCACACACACACACACACACACACGTGTGTGTGTGTGTCAGATAAGAGCGTTCCACGTCTGTCTGTCTATCTATCATACGTCTTGGCGTAGTCGGGTCGGTTCCTGATCTCATCGGCCGAATGTGCATAGGTGCACTTGGAGCCGTACGAACATGCACCACGCAGAAACAGCGGACAAAACTACACACACAACAGCCATCCACCCACCCATCCCAACCCAGCACAGTGAGTGCCTTTCCCTCCTCTGTGTTGTGTGTGCGCACCCGTGTTTTGTAGTAGGCCTGTTGATGCGTCGGCCCAGTCTGCCCCCTGCCGCCCCCGTCTCTCTGTTCTCTCTGGTCCCTGCTGCCCGTCTTGGCATCCAGCCCTGGTATGTGTCGGCCGATCTCGGGGTACCGCCCCGCCAGATCCAGCAGAGTCGTCACCGGCAATGTCACCTCCTTCGGCAGACCAAGCTGACATCCATCAATCCATCCATCAGCACAATATCCATCCACATTAAAATCCATTCATTCCCCTGTTACATGCAGTGCATCCAATCAATCAATCCACCGCATGCTCACGTTGGTCGCGGCCACTTCAGAGGCTGTGACTGCCGCAGGGACGGTCTCTGGCGGGTCCAGCAAAGGGTGCGGCGGGTCCGACGAATGCGGCGGCAGCGTCGCGCTCCGCGTGTGCGGCAGACGTCGGGGCGGGGGTGGCGGGGGCGGTGGGGGGACGGGCATACCACTGTGCGCCTCCTGCGTGTGTGGCGGTAGAATGAAGGGGTCGTCGGCGCTCGAGGAAGAGAGCGGCATCTGAGGCATGCGTGTGGTGGGGGAGGGAGTCAACACGCCTTGGGGGCCCGGCCGCTGCTGAGCCGACTCATATCGGGGCGGCGGGGGCATGGTGGCCTTCCCACCTGGCTCAGTGTAGGATGACTGCTGGTGCTGCTGCTGCTGGTACTGCTGGTACTGCTGATGATGGGGCACTAATGGCGTCGACTGAGGCGGCCGCGTGTAACTCTGCTGCTGCTGATGTTGTTGATGCTGATACTGTTGTTGCTGTTGATAGTGCTGAGAGTGCGGTCGTTGAGCCAACAGGTAAGAAGCAGAGGAAGGGCTGCCAGTGGGCGGTGGCAGTGGCAGCGGCTCATCGCCTGCCGCTGCTGTCAAAACTGAATGTCGAGCAGGCAGTGCAGTGTGCTGTCCTTGATCCACATGTTGATGATACTGTCTGTTGTCGCTGCCGTATATGAATTGGTCGTCGAGCAGCTGGCGGGCGGTGGGGACGCGGCCTTGCATCCTCATTCATTGGGGCCACGTGCGATGCGATATGTAGCAATGCGAAAGGATTGAAGCGTCAGGAAAAAAGTCCAGTCTGACTCGCTCGTTAGTTAGTGCTCTCTCCGCCGGCCAACGTCGCACAATGCTCAGCCGGGCGCCGCAGAAGCGACCCAAAAGGAAGCTCGCGCTCGAGCTCGCGCATCTGCGAGCTTGGCAGAAAAGGCAAAATATCCTCGAGAGGAGCCTTCAGGAGGTCCCCGGAAGGGCAGCGGTAAGTAACGGCATAGCGCACAGTTCTCATATGTTCGAGTGAGTCCCCAGGGTTCACCCAGAAGGCTTCTCCCTTCCTCGCCGGTGTGCGTGTGTGCAGGCTGCTACTGGGGCGAAGTAGTACGTACCTACCCCCCCACCATATATTCCATCCACTGATCTCCAACCAACGGTAGGTACGCGCAGCGCACCACAAGGACGTTCGAACACGCACCAACACGCGTAAGTTCACCCTCACAGATCTGACTGGGTGTCTGATCTGTTCTCTGGTCGGGAACACACAGATCCTTTCCTTCAAGGTGGCACGAGCACACGACAGGAGAGCCAACAGGGGCAATGAGCTCACCATCAGATGACCCAGAGGCCGGCCTGGTGACAACTCAGGTGTCCGCAGAGAGCGGCGGCCTCAAGAGCATCACCATGGCCATCCCGGACACCGTGGTCGAGGAGCCGGATGACGACCCAGAGGTCGATCCTCCCGTCCCCCCGCACCTCAAGCAGCCTCCGAGCGACTCGGGGAGCGTCCCCAAGCGCGCTCTGACCAGGATGGAGACCGTGGTCAAGCAGACCTCGAGGGCTTCCTGCATGGCGAGCAGGGTGGCGCTGAACATCGCCTTTGGCCTGGCGGTGCTGGTGGTGGTGCTGCTCGTCGCGTATGGCATCTCAGAGCTGGTCAAGCTGGGCGAGGATGACAAGTAGCGAGTGGCGTGGTGTGGGTGAGTGTATTTGTTGCCGTGATGATCAGTCAGTTGATGTGGTGGAAGATTGATCGATCAGTCGTGTGCGTGTCCGTGTCATCATCAATCAGGCCTGGGTCAGTCAGTCACCAAGCCGTCTGTCTGTCTGTCTGTCTCACGTGTAGCGCTTTATCCATCCATCTATCTCATCTCATGTGTGTCCATACAATATGTGTCTTTGTCCACACACATACATTCCACTGGGGGAGCCTCCATGCCATCCATCCATCTATCTATCTATTCACATACCTGAGTACTTACATACGGGCGGGGACCACTTCACTTGACTTGACTTCACTCCACTTGGGTGGGCTTCACTGATTGATTATTGCCTTTATTGGGTGCGTGCCGTGCATGGCTTCGTTGACAGCGTCCGCATTCGCGTGGTGGGTTGCGTTGTGCATGGGAGCATGGGGGGGTGGGGCGGGGCGAGGGCTGGGGAGGGCAGGGCAGCAGAGCAGAAAGCGCGGAAGGAGCTGCGTGTCTGTCTGTCTGTCTGCCTGTGTGTCCATCTTGCCTTGGATGTCCAGTCCAGTCAGCAAGTAGCTTTTGAGTGATTTGAGTCTAGTGGTCGATCGATGGATTGACCAGTCATAATCCCTCCATGAGGGCAATAAATACTTACTACTGGGTAGGCACATGTGCCACACACACATACACACATCCATACGTCCACACAGTCCATACGTCATACACACATCTGGTAGTAGGGATTGAGACCTAGCCAACACACACTCGGGTGATAGAACCAGCTGTGAGGAGGTCGGTGAGGTGGCGGGGCAGGGACCGACCCGGGTTTCGCCTCCTTGACGTCCTTCTCCAGCTAGGCCTATTCTCCAGAGGTGTCTCAGCGTGAATGAGTGACCGGCTCTTCCCCAATTTCTCGATGCTGCTGTTCGGATTTCTCGCCTCTGTTGGACTGCCCACACGTCTCCGGGGTAGACGGGGGCGTGTGTTAAGTCCCTGAGGGGAAGGTCATCCTAAAGGCAGCTAAGGGGCTGGGTGGGAAGGGGATGGGAGGGGCATCGGCTGGCTGGCTGGCCGATTGATGCATGTCCGTGTTACGTGGGTACATGTGAGCTGGCTGGCACAGAGAGAGAGAGAGAGTGTTTGTGTGTGTACGTGTGTGACTGGCATGGGGCATACGCAGGGAGGGTCTCTTGTTATGTATGTCGTTCGTCCCTTGATTGACGCCCACGACCGTGCCGTGCCTGCATCTGTGCAGCGTGCAGGGTGGTGGGTGTGGATCTCTTGCTGTCTTTCTGTCTTGCTGTCTCGCTGTCGTTGTCTTGTTGTGAGTTGTTGTGCATCCCGTTGAACTGCCATATGTGTCCATGAGAGTGCGAGCAACAGACGAACGGTATGGGCCTGCACTGGATAAAACAATCATCTAACAACGACTGCACGTACGCGCGAACAAATAAGTGGGCGCATCCTTGCCTTCCTTGCCGCCCATCTGACTGACGTCTCAAAGCTCAATCAAAGCTCACAAGCTGAAAATCTCTCTCTCTCTCTCTCCTCTCCCCATTTCTTGCTGACGACAGACAACCATGTAGGTACCTCTCAGCTTAAGACGTGTGTGACATCTCTGGCCTGTCTTTGTAGTGACGGCTGGTGACGTGTGGCGGCCTCCCCCGAGGTCGGGGAGACCGCCATTGTGTCACCACTCGTCATCAAAAACCGGCCAGTGGCGTCACAAGGAACGCATTGAATGCATCAGGACGGTGATCTCTCTTGGGCCCTGCTCTCGAGTACGCAATTGCATTTTCTTACACACGCACCCTCGTCGTCAAATCAACGATCGACAGGCGCGTGACGTGACTACCCCCTCCCCCCTTTGCCTTAAAGCCAACGTATGCACACCAAGATAAAGAGACACATAAACCTTCTTCTCACACACACACACACACACAACTGGCTGCAGCATGAAACAACACCATGCAATCACTACACTGCCACCACCTGCTGCTGCTGCTGCTGCTGCCCCGGCCTGGCGTCGTCATAGCTGTGTGTGGTGTCGTCCTTGTCCTTGCCAGTGCCATTGTCCTTGTCGATGTGTGTGCCGGTGACATCTGCCTCTATGTCGGTGTGTGTGGTGTCCGTCTTGGGCAGCGTGCGGAGGGACACCATGTTGGCCCTCCCGGGGTGCGCCCACATGTCGACCACAGAAGCCGCGACGGTCACAATCTGATGGATGTCATGTGACAACCGCAGAGAGAGGGAGGGAAGGGAGAGAGAGTGCTGGATACATGTGCTGGGGCAGATCGGGGTGGGGGTCAGGGGGTGGGGGATTGTGTGTGGGTGCTGTGCTCACGGCAGAGATGGCCGGGACGAGAATGAAAGCGATCATGGTGTCGACGCAGTAGAGCCCGCACGGCAGCGTTATGAAGTTTAGCCCACCTGACCCATACACGCGCACACGCGACACACACCACACACATGCATGACAGAACGGCGCAGAAATCGACTTGCCGTGTCTTTCCTCGTTCACTCACCGACAAAGTCTCCAGTGATGATCCAGCCCTGCCAGCAACCCCACACAGCACACCAACACAGGACAGACGAATGAATGGATGGATGGAACGTCACGCATGCTCCCGCCCATCTCCCTCCAGGTTTCCCTCCCTGTCTGTCTGACCTGCACGAATATGGTGAGTATGCCGGCCAGACATCCGCAGAAGGCCCCGGCAGTCGTGGTCTTGCCCCACATGCCCAGAAAGATCGGCGCCACCACCTAATACACACACACACACATACACACACGCGCGCGCGCGCACGCCTGTCCGCGATTACGTCAGTGCGGAAGAGGCCCACCGATGCGGCGAGGAGGTCTGCGATGAGGAACAGGTTGAGTACTGACAGGCCTATTGCGCCGATTATCACTGCAGGAACGTTGACCTACACACACACACACACACACACAGCCATAGGAAGAGAAACCGATCAATGCTCTCTCCGTGTGTGTGGGTGTGTGTGTGTGCTCACGGCGATGGCCAGCAGCCTTGCCCAGTTGACCGACACTTTGTGCGCCATCAGGTCGCTCGCAACCAACGCCACAATCCCTGCAGGCACCGACAGGACTCTTCCGTCCGTCCCATTACTTCATTGATTCGTTCATTCACTCCTCCTCACTGACCGTTCTGAAGTGTGTCGACGGTGGATGCGACGAGGGCCACGGCAAGGATGGCCACCAGCACCACCCAAAACAGCGGCAGCTTAGACAACAGCTGACGTGACACACACACACACACACACACAGAGAGAGAGAGAGAGAGAGAGAGGGGTGAGAAGGGCACACGAGTGGTTGTGCTGATTGATGGGTCGGTCGGTCAGTGAGAACACAACACCCACAAAGAAGAAGGCGAGGAACCCCATGCCCTCGATCTCCCCGTCTGTGTCGATGGCCTCGGCAACCATGCCCGACACACCGAACAGCAGCATCGTCGGGATGATCAGAATGCCACCACACACCAGACCCAGACGAACGTCTCGGCTGCTCTCGGCCGCCCACACCTAACACAACACACCCACACAAACGATCCCCACACAAGAGGATAAGAACGATCTGGTGTGTGGGCTTGCGTGGCTGGTGTGTGTGTGTGCGTGTGTGTGCGCGCATTTACGCGCTGCCAAGTGCCCTGGTTGAGTATTTCCGCTGGGATGATGGCCAGAATCAACGCAACGAGCGCTTGAAACCCCTGCAGGACAGCAACAGACACAGTGGGGGAGAGGGGCGCTGTGATTGTGTGGTGTGTTATGTGGTTAGGTTGACCTCTGGTGTCCAGGTGGCGACTTTGCTCCACTGCTCGGGTGGGATGTCGACCTTCCACAGCACCCGACCCACAGCAATGACCACCAACACACCTACCAAAGCACCCTGGTACCTGACACACACACACAGACAGAGGCTCCAGTTCAGCCACGTGTTTGTGGTCTGACCTCGCAGACTCACTTATCGGTGACGATAGATGCGGGCAGCCCGGCGTATGCCGTGTAGAGAGTGGTGATGATGGCCACGGGCAGGATGGCCGAGAGGGGGGAGAGGGAGTCCGCCAGCAGCGGCAGCGTCTGGCCGATGGTTGTGAACTCGGCGGTGAGGGCGATGAACATGTAGAAGAGCGACACCACCGACACCATCAAATGAACCACACGGCCATAGCGCCTGCACACAGCCACACACATCCGCCCACCCTCCCTCCCTCCCTCTCTCCGCTGCTTACTCTTTGACATAGTCGGAGACTGTGAAGCCCCTGTCGCCCATGGCATTGCGCACCTTCGGCCCCAGCCATATCAGCACCCACAGGGGCGTCGATGACGCCAAGGCATAGCCCAACACGCCCCACCTGACACACACACCACACCACACCACACCAGACAGACCATCAACACACACACACACACACACATCACTTCCATGAGTGTGTGTGACCAAAGGGATGCGTGGATGGATGGATGGATAGATGGCCACCTACCATCCGAGGAAGGTGCCGACTTCAGGTGCTGCGAATATGACCCAGTTGCCCATGCCCGACACGAAGAACGACATCGCCAGGACATACCATTTCTTGGAGTTACGCGCAGACAGAAACTCCTCCCCGGGATCGACGATCTGAACACACACACACACACACACAGAGAGAGAGAGAGAGAGAGAGATATCATGCCCACCCACGGAGGCTGCAGACCTGTCTGTGAGTGACCTAGGTACCTTTTTGTATTTGACGCCTCCGGCCCATCCTGCGAGTGCTGCGAAGAAGAAGAGGGTGCAGTAGAGGATGGGATACGCCGCCGCCTCTCTCAGCACGGCCATGCAGACAGACAGACAGACGGACAGAACCGCTCACTCACAACCAATCAACCGCAGGAGATCTTCCCGATGTGATTGATTAGTGTTGGTCAGGGGGCCTTGGGACGTGTCCAGACAGACAGATGAATGAATGAATCAACCGAAGAAAGATCCGGGAGAAAAGCTGTCGCATTTCCAAGCTCGCAAAAGCCGTGAGAGGAGCGAGAGGAGAGGGGGAAAGCAGGGATGCCGCGATCAATTTAGCCCATCAGAGCGGTGCTGACCAGCATTTCACTCATGTTTTCCCACCGAAACGGTCTTATTCGAGCAGAATAGGGATGCGGCTGGTTGGCTCTCTGGTGCCCTGATAGTGATGCTACCTTGATGCTACCGTGACAGACCCTGGGATGCGGCGGCCTTCTCAAGGGTGGATTGGCGCCCCAGCCGATGCACCGCACCAGCCTGCATTCGCCCTCTCAGCAGGACAGAGAGATGAACCGCGACAGCCACTGGCAGCACAACCGACGCAACCACCGCAAGAATCGCAGCCAACGGCGCCCTCAGGGTCTGCTGCGGTCCCATCGCAGCCACATGCCCGTCTTCAGCCGTGGGTTCGGCTACGCAGCACCGGCTCCCTAGATCAGCAGCATGCCCAGCCCCCTGCACCACCAGCAAAGGCAGAGCCAGTCAGAGCGCCATCTGCACCAGCCTCCCCAGTGCAGATCGAATCCCCCGCCCCGCCATCACGCCCAGCACTCGCTGCGGCAGCTACAGCGGACCAGCAGCAGCCACAAGCACAGCCACAGCCACAGCCACAGCCACAACTGCAGCCACGAAAGGGCGCCCCTCCCGAGTTGGCTGATGTGGGTGGCGACAAGCCGGCGCAGCAACAAGAGCAAGGGCGGCGTGGGAGGGCCACGGCGGCCAGCAAGGGCGGTCAGGGTGACTCTCTGCTGGCGTTTGTGCGGCCGGAGAGGGAGATGGACACCGCCCAGGCAGTCGAGAAACGGGGCGCCATCCTGACGCCTGTTAGTGGTGGCAGTGGTGGTGGTGGTGGGGCCGCGTCGGAGCCGCCCGCCCTCTCGTCTGCGGCCACAGGGCCGGGGGGCAGCCTGATATTCCGTCTGGGGTGGCTTGGCCAGCTGCTGCTCGACCCCTTCTACAACAGAGACCTCCGCGCCGTCCACGAGAAGAAAGACAAGGAGAAAAGGGGCGAGGAGAGAGGGGGGCAGGAGAGGCCGCCATCCAACGCACTCGACGACCGCAGCGGGGAGTATGAGTCGCCGGGGCACCAGCAGCGCCGCGAGAGGTCGGGGTGGCTGTACGGTGCTCTCATGCGTGAGCTGGCGAGTCTCTGGCGGTCGACGGGCGGGGGGTGGGTGGCGTCGCCCTTGCTGGGAGAGAGAGGGCCGGACGGCATGACGGTGGCCGCGTCGTGTGCGGCGCTGGGGGTGCCCGATGGCGACATTGTCGCGCCATCACTGCTGCCGGAGAGGCTCGCGGAAGACCTACACAGAGATCGGGACACTCGTAGCAACCCACAGGTGGTCCGCCTGGCAGCTTGGCAGCGTGCACACGCCCATGGCAAGCCACAGGGGGCGGGGGCAGGGTCAGGGCAGCTGTCCCTGCCGTCGATGGCCCTGCACGCCCTCGTCATCCGGCTGGAGGGGCTGGCCCTGACCTCTCACGAGCTGTTCTCGCAGGAGGACCACCTGGTGGCCGACCTGATCGATTTGTATGCCGCCTTTGAGGACAAGACGGAGGGCAGGATGGGGGGCTACCTGACGCAGAAGCTGCACGCGCTGATGCAGCATGGCAGGACCATTGAGCAGCTAGGCGATAGGGATCAGTGGCGGGAACACTTGAGGGAGCAGAGGTGAGCGAGCTGGTTGGTGGGCAAATGGGGGAGAGAAGGTGGCGCTTTGACACACACGTACACGTGTGTGGTTGTGTGTGGCTGTGTTTGTGTGTGTCAGGCAGGTGCGTGTAGAGCGTGACCGCGAGGAGAGGGAGGAGCTCGATCTGGCGCAGAAGCTTTACGCCAAATGGAACGACATCAAAGCCATCAGGAAACAACAGGTAAACACCCTCCTCTCCCCCCCCCCCCCCCCC